CTCAACGGCATTCACAGGGAATCAGTCTCAAGTTATGTAGACTCCCGCCCTGTGAATGCCGTTCTAGGCACACAACCACCGGACGTGGACGGGACAGAACTTTGTCTGCCTCGGGAGACCCGCACAACAATAGCCCAACTTCGCTCTGGCTATTGCAGCAGGCTCAACAGCTACCTGAGCAGAATCAACGAGGATGTGCCCAACCAATGCCCGGCATGTGGAGAGTCGCCACATGACTCCCGGCACCTCTTCACATGCCCTGAGAATCCCACTCAGCTAACGCCCCTGTCCCTATGGACAGCCCCTGTGGAAGTCGCACACTTCCTGGGCCTCCCCCTAGCTGAAATAGACGACAACGATGATGGATGAACCGTCCCGAACGGGGCTTAGTAGCCGCTACAACAACAACAACAACCAAAAAAAAATAAAAGTAAAATTTTAACTTTTATATTTGTCCGAACAAATAAGTCAGAAAATAACGGTTAAAATTGCTGACTTTTTTGAAGAAAGTAAAAAAAAAAAATAATTAAATCATATAGGATTAACATTCCTTGGCTAACAAGCATCACATTGCTATATACAAATGAAAAGACCAATTCTTTCCGACTGACTTTTTGAATTGAAATTTTGAAAATAACTATTATTTTCGATCCCTGTGTTTTTTTGTCCTTTTAGTAAATGAGGGGTATGTAAATATTTTTAAAATCAAATAGGGTGTTTGCAAATTTCCGATGTAATGAAATTACGTACATTGAGTCTAAGATACGATTATATTTTAAAATTACTTACTCCAAGGTTTACTGTTTTATCTTTTGTTGATGGATCATCATCACAAGCGAAGTTTTTTGAAGTTTCTTTATATTCGTTTGCCATTTTAACATTTGCGTGAATTAAAATTCGATCGCATTTATTTTCATTTGATCTGCAAGGATCTGTAGCAGATTTTTGGTTACTTTTGATTATATTTTTGTTACCAAGAGGTAGTTTCTTTCTTTTAACATTTTTAGCAATGATTGCTCTTGAGTTCTTATGCAAATCTTCGAGTCGTTTTTTAATTTGCTCTTTTTCAAATGCGTTTTTTTCATTGTTAAACTTTATTGAAGAAGCAGCTTGTGAGCGTCTTCTAAGCCTCCGATCATCTATAAACTTACGGGCTGCCTCGACGTTATAGGACTTGCGTTTCGTACTGCCGGGGGTCAATAATTCATGCGATTTTGTTTCTGATGGTTGGCTTGATTTTGATCTTGGTTTAACACATATTCCCGTTTTTAAATGGCGTTCTGTTTGTGATCCAGGTTTGGTCCCTAGAATTTCCGTTTTACATCTACGAAATGTGGGACGCCTTACCTTTGCACTTTTTGTAGAAAGTGTTTTAGAATCTGCATCTTTTTCGTTGCAACTATCAACAATTTTATTATTTGCAATTTCTTTTAAATACAATTTAAGATCAGTGAATTCCTTTTCACGTTCTTTTTTCTTTCCAAACACACAGCGAGTGCGATCAGTTACATTATTTTGTTTAAATTCAGGATCTGTAGAATTGCCCTCCAATTGTTGACGTTGGGAAGCATCTTTTTTTGTGTTTTCTTTTCGGGAAGTTTTCAGACTACTTGTGTAGGAGATTTTAGCAGATTGTGTTTTAACTTGGCGAAGACTGGCTTCTATACGGTGAATCTCACTGCCTGAAAAATGGAATTTGCAAGACAATTATTTCTTGCTAGTTACTCTTTATGATACGTTTTATACTTTTGTAATTTTCAAAGTTAAATAAGGTTACCTGAAGCCGAGTTTTCAACAGCCGTCTCACTCCTGTTTCGAACCGGTTGCTGAGGATCATTCATGCTCTTGTGATATTTTTTTAGCTTTGCGTGCCTATACACAACTCAAAATACTTTCTGCTTTATACGGCTTTATTCCATCTTAGAATAAACTTTAGTTCTAAACGAGATTGGAAAGTTTAGGAAATAACCATCAAAAATTTCAATTCCGTATACAAACTAGGCATGGGTAACACTGCGCTGCGGGGCGCAATTACGCTAACACCGTAGCCGGAGTTGCCGCGCCAACACCAGTATATGAAAAGCGCCAGCGCCATTAAAACCAAGCAACACATGAGGCAGCAACACAATTCGCCTTTGAAAATTTACACGTACATACTTTGTTTTTGCTTTTGAGCGTTGAGAACGCAAATTTAAAGCCTTTACTCAAGAATGATGAGAATATCGTGGCATTTACTACATTCCTATCAATTAAATTTGGTTGGCGGTACAAGCGTTGCTCAGTGCCGAAAATTACAGAAATAATAGACATGACACCACTGTATGGTGTACTACACTATATGACGATGGGTACTGTAGTGACACTCAGATGGCACCGTGTTCAATTCAGTACACTGCACTAAAGCGCTGAGTTAGTACGCTGACACCACAGGTGGCGCTGGCGTTATTGAGCTAGCGCCAAAAAAATTGCGCTATTACACATGGCCAGGGATGCCGTTTGAATCTAAATAGATCCAATTGGATACATTTTTAGACGAATTTTTGCGGGATACTTATTTTTTCCGGTCAGTATAAATGTGGATACTTTTTTAAATAGGCCAAAAATTTATATTTCCTATAAAGTTTTTTTCGTTCAAAAATCGATTTTCAGTAAAGATGGTAGAAAGCATTACGTTTTCTAAACGGATTAAGAATCGCTACTTAAGCGTGACATTAAAGCATTTTATTTTTTGTGAACGAAGCAATGAACATATGAAGAGATCTCACCAAAATAGGTATAAGCGCAATTGTGTTAATTAGATTAAAAGGATGCTTTAAGCAAGATCTTAATATAGGTACATATCGTCGTTTAAAGTACAAAACCGCGTATCAAGATAATGCAAAACCGCGTATGTGATGTTGCATAAATTATTTTCTAAAGAGCAAAAACACTTATGTTTTAAAATGGATCCCTTTTTTATAGAGCAATCGCTTTTCTGGCTAGTATATTTCAGGACGACTGGATCAGGATTGAGCCAAGAGCTTGTGTGAGCAAATCCAATTTTTGGTAGCAAATGTTAATTACGCGGTTTTGCAGAATGACGATACACGGTTTTGTACTTTAAACGACGATATATATAAAGTAAATTATACTCTTTCTGTAGTAATCTCTTTCATATCACATATTTTCATTTGTTAATTTAAAAAGAAAGATGTCAATGAAGTTTAAAAAACTAAATTTTATTTATTTAAGGAAACTTGTATGAATTTTACTGAAAAGACTTTAAATAAACTCTAAAAAAATTTTGTTTCTTTGCGCATATTAAGAGAGGTAACCAGTTTCCTCTTTTAATGTGTGCAAATTTGCACGCCGTGTAATAAAATTAATCATTGCCTGTTTACTTTTACACAACAAATGTGTTGGAAGAGCAAAATTACAAATAAAATGTTTAAAATAAAGTAATGTTTATTATTAGTAGGAAATGTATTTGTAGTTTGAAAATTTTTGCAATTTTAAACATTCTATATATGTGTATTTATGTGTATATTTTAAAGATCTCAAGTTCAAAATCAAATACTGAACATCCTATACGTATATTTATACAGATTCTTGTTGAAAAATAGATACTTTTCAGTAGTAGTTTTACATGCTCTTTTTAGAGTGTACTTGCTATTTATTGTACTTGCTTTGCAAAATACTTATGCACAAAAAATGTACTTTATAAATTGAAATTACAAATGTTTGATTTTATGTACATGTATTCCAAGTCCTTAGTATGGATTATTTAAATTATGTCTTTTTCATGAAAATGTTTGGTTTTCTTACAAATTATGAGATGTATATGTAAAAAAAGAAAATTGGATACATTTGGATACATTTTTGGCTTGGTCAGTGATACATTTTCTTGAGACGGCGCGGCAACACTGCCCATGGCTAATACAAACCCATGATTCAATAATACAAGGTTAGATAATTATTGACAGCTGCGGTTTGACACTCCCTTACAAAAGGTTGCATTTACGAAGCACAGAGAAAGGGCAAGAATGCAATCCCTTGTTTCGAAAATGGTAGTAGAAAAGTACGCAAAGTAGGCAATTAGTAGTGAAATTCCTTTCATAAATTCTAATGTTTTTTGCAGGAAATCTGGCATTTTAAACGAAATGTTGAACGTAATATTGATATATCTACGTGAATTACGTAATTTATATCATATATGTAATACTCCTATATTGGCAGTAAGAGCTAGTACCGTCCGAAAACACTACAGTACAGATATATCAATAAACACGTACGAAAGAAAAGGAACACATACGTTTATAAATAAACATGTACACAACACATATACAAAAACGGCACTCAAGTACACAATACATTGATTAAAACGGTACTAGACTGTCTCGCTTTGATTTCGGAATGCTTACACATTGAGAAGTTAGCTTACTGCCAATATAGAAGTATTACATATATGATTTATATGCTATTTAGCCGCATAAAAACTGCAAAATGACTCAAAATTAAAATAAGACCACTATGAGATTGATGTAAACATCCAATGCTTAGGTTTTCATCAGTTAAATATGCTTCATATGCATGTACAAATAAACATATTGCACAAAAGCTTATACTTTAATTTCACACCAAAGCTACACTGTTTCCATGTAAATTTGCAAAGAAGCAACACGGTGCCACTGCTAAGGGAGCGGTGCGAGAGAGACAACTGTCAGTTTATCGAACCTTGTATTATTGAATCATGCACAATAATGATAGAATACAAGATTGCGCCGATTGCAGCAGAATTCGTGAGAGTAATTTTAGCGTGACGTCATCGTAGAGTTAACAACTGAGAGCGGCGAGAATGAGGGCGACTAGTGATGTGCTGAATTGACCCCAATACTCGGTACCCAATACTTAAAAAAGATTTCGGTACCCTATACTTCCTTTTCGGTATCCGATACCGATTATTTACATTAAACCCTCGCCATTATATGCATTTCAGGTTTAGAAAAAACTTTCATTACTAATTTATATGATATCGGCTAAAACACTTGAACTTATCGCCACAGAAAAATAATATTTTATCAGTTTTAACCTTAGTCGATCCAAGGTTCAAGAAAAATGTTTTGACGGATGAAGAAGCTTTTCAGGGGGGAGATCTAACCAGTTAGCGACAAGTTTCGGATCGATATCGTACTTGTTGGTGTAACAATATTTCATATCATACGTCAACAAATCTGCCCCTAGGCCTCCAAAAATGATATCGTCCGATTCAGCTGGAACAAAAATGCTTCAAACAAGTGAGAGTTTCTTTGCGTTATGGCCTGGAACCGACATATATACATCTTCCATTTGAATCAGTATTAAAAGCTCTATTGGCTCTATTGGCGAGACTCCCCTGAGCCGTTTTTTCCATATCTTTGGCCTGTGTGCGCTTTTATTTGAAATCTAAATGTTTTGGTACCGAGTATCGAGAGTATTGGATACATTTTAAATCGTTACCGAATATCGATCAATACTTGAAAGTATTGACTGAGCACATCACTACTGCTGTCTTCTCTACTATGACGTCACCAAAACAGCTGATTCTGTCAAAATCACTGAGAGCCGAGTAGCGGTATCGTCATCGGCGCCACCTCTGTATTCTCTCCACCGTGAATCATGCATATATGTGTGTAAAAATGTCATAATACCTATATTTCGGTGTATTTCCCCTCCGTAATTAGAATTCTGTGTAGTTTTACTATGAATTTATGTATATGTCTAAAGAATCCTTCATAAAAGTGATTTACTGTAATAATTTAGCTAATTTATAATTATTATATTACTTCGGTGTATTTTAAAAATATTATTTCTAAAAAAATATTGTTCTTAAAACGACTTAAAAATTTAAATTTTGTGGCACTTTCATCTTGTTTTCGGCACTATTTTCGAAGACCATTTGGCACATTTTGAAATTTTGAAATTCCATCCCTTGTTACAAGTGAGCAATTGTTCGGTGCAGCCGGCAGTTATAATTACTTTTTTTGAAATATAATATGCCCCTGTTGAACTTTGACTACTAGCTTAAAACACTGTATACATAGGTTAATGTTCAATGTTCTTATAATTTACAAAATGTTTAAGTAATAAAAACGATGACTTAAGTTGATTATAGCTTGACATGCTATGATGAATCATGCTTATGTAGTATACCGAAGTACTGCATATTAAAACTGGCATATCTCGGGAAAGTAAGATCGAATCGAAACGAAAATAAATTTTAATACTACATATATGATGCTCTAAGTAGAAATTAAAAAAAAAATGTAGTTTTCATAATATAACCTCAAATATCGCCAAAAAAATGAGTTTTTGACACTCTGGAATGAGGTAATCTCAAAATTCTACGTTTAAGCCCACTTCTGCCAGATTTGGATTCAACACCAAAATATTCTACAAGAAACGATGTGTTTTACTTAGGTGGTCAAAGAAACAGTCAAAACTGGCGGAACTCTTCAAACAATCAAAATATGTACAAATAATAAGAAAAGGAAAAAAGCAATAGTTCACTTACCTCAACACGAATACAATTCAACAAGAACTTGAGTTTGCGACTTTAAATTTTTATCAATCATGGTTGCATTTTAATACATTTACATTTGTAGATTCCTGTAAATTCAGTGCTGCCGCAGCTTTACATATTGCAAATTATTTTGTTTTAACTAAATTATTATTATTTTTTTGAGTTTTAATTTTCAAAAACCACTAAATCTAGTGCTTAAAGCACCATGTTGGCAATAGTTATGACAATTCATTTTGAGCAAAATGTCGGACGTGAACGTTGTATTATAATACGGATTTCGCGCGAGCTATTTAAGTTAAAAACTAAAAAATAATAAAGAAGAGACAAAGTTACATACACATCAGCGTTCTCTTCTTTCTTGTACACCACGTCAAAATTACTGTATACTTACGTCAAATCACTGTCCGATTTACTGCTTTCAAAATAATCAAGACAGTGATTGAGGCAACCCTGCAAAAATCG